GCGAAGGTGCCCTGGGGGACAGAGGGCACTGGGATGGACTGGGAACGACCCAGTGCGGAGTGGGAGCCACCCACGGTGGAGTGGGGGCATCCCAGTATGGAATGAGGCCATCCCAGTAAGGACTGGGGGCATCTCAGTACGAAATTAGAGCATCGCAGTAAGGAGTGGGGGCATCCCAGTAAGGAATGGGGGCATCCCAGTAAGGAGTGGGGGCATCCCAGTAAGGAGTGGGGGCATCCCAGTAAGGAGTGGGGGCATCCCAGTAAGGAGTGGGGGCATCCCAGTAAGGAGTGGGGGCATCTCAGTACAAAATTAGGGCATCCCAGTAAGGAGTGGGGGAATCCCATTATGAAATGAGGCCATCCCAGTAAGAAATGGGGGCATTCCAGTATGGAATGAGGGCATCCCAGTAAGGAATGGGGGCATCCCAGTATGGGCTTGGACTGACCCAGTAAGGGCTGGGAGCCCTTCCCAGTGTAAAGCGGCCCCGCCCAGTACCAACCGAGTACCCTCCCAGTACAAACTGAGGCGTTCCCAGCATAAACTGGACCCCCCCGGCGCAGAAACCGCCGCAAAGGACGATGGGATGTATCCCCCCTCCGGCCGCACTCCCCCACTGTCCCGTCATGCTCCGCGCGGTGCAATGATCTCTATGGGCGGTGCCGCGGGGGATGCCGGGATCGCCGCACTCCCCCAGTGTCCCGTGGTGCCCCGCGGTACCTGCGGCCAGTCCAACATGGCGGCGAGGAGCTGCCCCGTCTGGTTACAGTCGTCATCGATGGCCTGGGGGGGGCACAGGGGGGGTCCTATGGGGGCTGTAGGGGACCCACCACAACCCCCGGGCCGCGGGGACCCTCCCGGGGCCGTGGGGGTCCATAGGGCCCTATATGGGGGTGCCCAGGAGGGTCCATAATGGCCTGTGAGAGCCCATAGGGGGTCTGTGGGGGGTGTCACTGCTGGCCCAGCAGCACCAGCTGGGGTGTCAGGGGGCCTATAGGGGATCTATTGGGGTCTATAGGGGTCTATAGGGGTCTATAGGGTCTCACTGCTTTCTCAGCAGCACCCTGGTGTTCCGGGGGGCCTATAGGGGCTCTATAGGGGATCTATTGGCATCTATAGGGGTGTCCGTAGGGTCCATAGGGGTGTCCGTAGGACCCTATAGGGTCTCACCTGCTTGCCCAGCAGCACCAGCTGTGGTTTCAGGGTTCTACAGGGGCTCTATAGGGGTCTATAAGGGTCTATAGGGGTGTCCATAGGGGCCCGTGGGGGTCCCTGGGGGTCTATAAGGGTCCATAGGGGTGTCCGTAGGACCCTATAGGGTCTCACCTGCTTGCCCAGCAGCACCAGCTGTGGTTTCAGGGCTCCATAGGGGATCTATAGAGGTCTATAACAGTTTCCATAGAGGATCTATAGGTATCTATAGGGTCTCACCTGCTTGCCCAGCAGCACCAGCTGGGGCTGGATCTTCCCCACCAGCCCGGCCAGGGCCGTGGCCACCTCGAGGGGCCCCAGGGCCACCCCCTCCCCAACCTCGGCCAGCACCGCCCGGTCGGCCCCGACCGCGAGCGCCGTGCGCAGGGTCTCCTGGGGGGAAAAGGGGGGTCAGAAACACCCCTAAACCCCCCCAAACCCCCTCAAACACCCCCACAGGGTCTCCTGGGGGGAAAAGGGGGGTCAGAAACACCCCTAAACCC